CAGGGGCCGGGCGGGCCGGCCGGGGTCAGCCCCTCACGCTGCCACGAGCGCTGACCGGCGCTGGCTGCTCGGGGTCTGATCCAGCGCGGCCGCGTCCGGGTCAGCAGCGCGTGCAGCTCGACAAATCTCCAGCGCCGCTGCCTGGCCCGAACTCCGCCCCCAGCGCCCGACAAAGGCCGCGGCGCAGCACCGGCGACAAAGCCGCGATCGCTAGATACGGCGAGAGCCATCTAGCTTTGTGGGCCCCCAACAAAATACTGATGACTAATGTCATATTACTGGGTGAAGGAGAAACGATAATTAACACTATGAATTACAAATAACAACGGCGGAGAGCAGCACAGGTCACCCGTGCGTGCATTGCCGGCCGCCGGGATCGGAGAAGCGCCGCTGTTGTTTGTCGTCTCGGCCGGAGGAGAGCTCCAAGGACAGGGCCGGCACGCCCGCGCCGAACTGGAGCATGTCACCGCTCGCCATACACCTCTGGGCGGCCGCCAGTGCACCGGTGACCTCTGGGTCGCCGGCTGGGATGCAAATCGAGCCGGCGGCACAAAGGGGCGCGGCCGGCCGAGGAAGAGGACAGGCCCCAGCGGACGGAGGGACGGACCGGCCCTGACCGACGAAAGGACGGACCGGCAGTGACCGACGGACGGACGGACCGGCAGTGACCGACGAAAGGACGGACCGGCAGTGACCGACGAACGGACGGATTGACTCTGACGGGCGGATGGAGGAACCGGCCCTGGAAGATGGACGGAGGACTGCAGCGCACGCGGCTGCTCACGCATGCACCCCGACTCTGGGATTATCTTGCGCTACGCTCGGCTGGTGATGGCACCCGCTATTGTTGAAAGGAACTTGCACTTTGAATTGAACATTACCTGTCAGCTTCGATGAGAGCAAGATTGACATGCCGACAGAAAAACTGTCTTGAACCTAAGTCCGTGGAGTTCGAGTTGTATCCGTCTTCAGCCCTGACGCAAACTTTCGGGTATTAGAGTTGGGTTCAAAACAGCCAAAGCACAACAGTGAATCTCTGAAACCGTCGTCGGCCGAGGACTTCAGACCAATCAGGCCTCTCCTATCGTATTTGTCACCCGAAGCAGAGAAAGAATGGACAAGATCTAGTCAAGCCTTAACTCAATCCAAGAATGTTTGTGGCTCTAGCTGTTGTTTTTACATCGTTCCTGCGTAACGTGGCGGGTAAATTTTGAGGCAGCAGTGGTCTGAAACGAAGTCGGCGCATTCCGAGGTCGCTGGTAGGGCTGACAATGTCCCGTAAAGCCGGACTGGATTGACACCGCAACACGGAGAGGCCCAGTGCCTTTAACCAACCTGCATGCAAGCAGCAATACATCCAAATGTGCGGCGAGCCCGGCGATAAAATAGAAAGTTGTATTCTGCATCGGTGACCATGACGGCACCATGACGAACAAGTTCCTGGGAACGAGCCCGGTGAGCCCAAGGAACGCAGACAACCGTTTTTACTGCGTGTGAATGGCGTAGCTGGAATCCCGAACACTGGTGTAAACATAACTTGCGTGATGCACGTCTTATTGAGGGGTCAAGCATGGCTGAAGCGGGACATACCACCTTGTCGATACGGGCGCGGCGGTACTGGTGCGGGGCACACGCCGTCGGAACACATGATGGCACATGTGTTATGTTCTTAACGTGCGAGTACCATCCTCTCTCTCTCTCTCTCTCTCTCTCCTCTCTCCTCTCTCTCTCTCATCTCTCTCTCCTCTCTCTCTCTCTCTCTCCTCTCTCTCTCTCCTCTCTCTCTCTCCCTCTCTCCCTCTCTCTCTCCCTCTCTCCCTCTCTCCTCTCTCTCTCTCTCTCTCTCTCTCTCTCTCTCTCCTCTCTCTCTCTCTCTCTCTCTCTCTCTCTCTCTCTCTCGTTCACTCTCTCTGCACTTGTCAGCACCAGTCAAATCACGGAATGTTTAAGATAACATCCACATTTCCCGCATGCCCAACACCGCCCAATAAAGGTGGTGTTTTACAAAAAAAAGATTCCAGTCATTTTATTAAATACACAGGGCATGACGCGATGGCACGTCGCAAAACGCCTCCCTTTTCGAAAATCAGGACGCTACTGCGACATCTGAGCCGGAACAAAAGTGCAGCTTATATGACGTCGTACTGAACCGGTCGCGGTACAAACCTGGTTGCGCTGGATCGCCGCACCGCAAACCTGCACCCCGCGGCGCACGTCCCTTCCAAGCGCAAGGAACTGCCGCAGAGTGCGACACGTGGGCCCGGCCGCTGGGCCGGCGCGGCCCGAGGCCCCGCCTGCCGCCACGGCCGGCCGCCGGCCGGAGGGTACATGGACGCCGTGGACGATGGGTGATGAGCGCGGTGGGCGGACGCCGCGCCGGAGCGCCGTCTCCACCTCCGCCGGTCGGCGCGCGCACTACGCCATGCCGAAGCGAGCGGCGCGGAGCCGCTTCTTGTCCTCCGAGGCCGGATCGAGCGGCGCCGAGGAGGCGAAGCGCGCCGCCCGCTTGGCCTTGACGTCCTCGGGCACCACGATGCCGAAGCGCTCCTTGCGTCGCTTCAGCCGCTCCGACTCCTCCAGCTGCGGGAGGTGGCGCACGTCGCGTTACAGGCTACACCACGTCAGCAGCGAAGTCCGAGTGGCGTCCAAGACAGCGACAAGGCGTGGCGCGAAGCCATGCTTCTGAGCGTAATAAATCGCAAACTGCGCGTAGTTTAGTGGAGAGTTTAGCGTAGTTTCGCAGTCTTCATTAATGGGGCCAGTCCACGTTGAAACAGGGCGGAAGAGAGCTTAATGCTTGGCGCCGTAGCGTTGTAATGCCTCTCGCATACCGGAGCCAGCAATTAAGAGGGGGGGGGGAGGTATTTTGTATAGCGGTTTCATGCCGCGATAACCGAAACAACTCAACTCTACGACGACGAATCAGAGGCAACACTCACTCAGTCTACAACACCAGCCGCCGGTCTATAATCGCAACTATCAGCTCCTATCTGGCCGCCAACACCGTCATGTCCACACAAATCCCGCTATCTCGTGAGGTGTCTGCATTCGTGCAGCCGTATGCACTTCGTCAACGTACCATCCGACAACGGCGCGACGCTCAGAGCACGAACACCATCACAAGTGTATCAAGGCGCCATCTTTCGGCCCGGCAACAAATCAACCGCGCTGAGACGACTGACCACCCGACGTACGGCAGAAGCGGACACCCCATCACCACTGAGCAAACGCGAGACGTAGCCCCCCCCTCCCGGATTATGTGTGCTGCACGCGCCGCCGTCGACTCACCGAGATGACCTTCTCGGAGACGGCCTCGCCGAACCTGCCAGCGCGCTTCTTCAGCTTATCCAGCTCGGAGGCGCCGGAGCCGTTCTTCTGGCCACCGGCATCAGCCTGCTGCGGCGCGCCGAACTTGGCCAGCCGCGCAGCCTTCCTCTCCTCGGGCGTGAGCACCTTGAGCGCGGAGACGGTCGGCTTCGCGCCGCCCAGCTTCTCGGACCGCTTGGCCAGTCGCTGTCGGCGGCGGGTCGGCGGGTCAGCTGACGGCACCGAGGCCATGTAGACCATGGTCGGGCAACTCGGACTGGGCTCGCGGTTGACAGTGTTAAAACCGCGAGCTACTCGTTCGACACTGTAGGACACAATTGGTTTTAATCGAACAGCAATACGCTGCTCAACACGCATCAAAACTTCGTGTTGTTGACACAAAGGTGCTCTCGGCTCATCGCGAATCCTTGCTGCCAACACTTAGCTCAGGGTTTATGACAGTGTGTGGTAACTGTGATAACAATGGTCCTACGCAGCGAACGCGAGTATCGGCCGCGTAACACGAAACGCGCACGACAACGTTTAAACATCAGAGGACCAGGACTCGCATTAGCAGGTCATATATGCTGCATGTAATGAGTGCCATAGGATCAAATACATCAGCCGGAACGACTGTCGACAAAATCCTACTGCAGCCTTCAACTCCGCTGATGAGCAAGGATCCGGCACCAGAATCAGATAATCAAATACATCAGATGCAACGACTGTAGACAAAATCCTACTGCAGTCCTCAACTCCGCTGATGAGCAATGATCCGGCGCCAGGATCAGCTAACACATTCCGGGATGAAACTACCTGCTCCGCTTTTTGCCCGAATGCATTGCGCAGCGTCCTCCCCGCCTCCCAAGAACCAACCCCCACATCTGATCACTGCAATCATTTTTCCCTCTCACACACCTTAACCAGCGTCCTCAGGACCCCCCCCCCCCCCCCCGTCGTCTACCCCCGCCCGCTCCGCCGCCGCACCTCCATTTCGGAGAGACCACTGGTGGTCAGCTTGATCCGCTTGCTGGCAGGCGCGTCCGCCGCTGCCGCCGCGGCCGTGGCGGCGGCCGGCGGCGCCGCCTTGGTGGCCTGCGCGATGGCCGTAGCAGCCGCCTGCTGCGCCGAGGCCGCCGCCTCGCGGTTGATCACGATCTTCCTCGGCTTGGCCGCCGGCGTCGCGGTCTCCAGCAGCTTGGTGTCCAGCTCGGCCGGCTGAGGGCAGCAACAGCAGCAGTGACGTGGGAGGTCCACTTGCAGCCCACTCCCGAAGGCAGCTCGAGAGACTCCAGCCGTGCCAGCGACTCGCACTCCGACGGTGTCGTGATTAGCAACAGACAAACAAGAGGGTGCATAGGAAGCAAGGAGACAGCACAACACAGAAAGCTTGGCAATGACAATGGCAGATCCAATGACACATCGACTTGGAACAGAGCACAGGAGTCCATGCGATGTGCGCGTATGAGATGCGCGGCGCGAATGAGCCAAAAATACATACAACTTTGATGGTTTGGTCTCAAACAGAACAGAACCAGTGCTGAATACAAATCAGAAGTCCTTCAAGAAGATGCAAGTTTGTCATGGTAATTGTTAAGCACAGTGAGACTATAGAAAAGCCTTGCAACATACAAGCAAAATAAGATGGAAGACAAAGATCTGGTGCCAGGACCTACCGAGTTGCTGTCTTCATCCTCTTCCTCTCCCAGGAGTTCAGACTCCTTGGCATCAAGGTCTTCCTCCTGATGAGATGAATCTGAAAGCAAGAGCATTGCATTTTGATGGCTTGTAATGGAATATATGCCTCATTCTAACCACATACTAGAAATATGCATAGTAATAACAATAACTGAAGTCATAATATCATACCAAGTAACACATATCAAGTATCCCCAAAAAGAAACCATGTTTCTTCTAACACATGTTGGTTCAATTTGGATAGTGCCAAAATTGCAAAATAGCTGGGGAATTCAGTTTTGCATTTGTGCTTACATTTTCACAAACAACAATCAGCATGTTTATTTTGTTAGCTGATTAATGACACAACTACAAGTGGCCCTTCCAAATTATCATGTGCCTCAGGTGTAAAATGGACTACTTATAGCACATCAGCATACATAACAGTTTAGGAACTGTTTTTGAAAAGAGGTGGGCATCAAAAGCAGGTCTGTCATCAGTGCTTTTTAATGGGTTTTTGCTATTTCTGTGATCTCACACTTTAATGGGAAAATATCAACACAACTAACACATAAAATGGGCCAGAGTAGCTCAATACCAACACAGGCTAGGAAACACGTGACAACTACGTGCTGGATTGAGATCCCGCCATACCTGCACCCTCTGCCAACAAGGCATCCTTGAGCCTGCTGGCAAGCTCGCTCTTGTTTCCGGATGTGGGCAGACCCCGCTCCTTCAACTCCTTCTTCAGCTCAGCAATCTACATGAAGACCCAGTAATGGTATGATGCATCACAATCACAAAAGCACACTGTAACTTACCAGTTCAGGAATCACAGAAACAAGTGTGGGGGGGGGGGGGGGGGAGACTATGGGGGCAGCTGTCATGCACCACTGCAAACATTTAGCATTAATCTTGAGCACTGTGTGAAGAGGAATGAAACATGAAATTGAGTTTGCAGTTAAAAAATATGCTATTATACTCTGTCATCTTCAGATCCTAGTGATCATCATAATATACTTGACAACCATGATGCATGCATAAACACAACTGCACCTCATGTTTCTTCACAGATCTTCACACAAAAAAGTGGTGGCAAAAAATACAGAAGAAAGGCAAGTAAACACTACTAACTGCATTGCAGACCACTGTGGAATATCATGGGCATATTATGGGTGCAGGTGATATGAGCGCAAGGCAAGACTAAAACAATCAATGACAATGAACCACATGATGATCCATTTCATCAGACATCTGATGCAATGCTTAGGCCATGGAATGGGAAGATAGATGGGACAAGGTGCTAGGGATGCTAATGAGAGGTACATGGAAGAAGCAGTATTAGCCAAACAGCACTATCACAGCATCATAATGACAGAAAATTGATACTGGAGGTTTGTGGGGTACAATACCAAACACCAGGCAGCACCAAAATGGCCTTACATTTAAAACATCCTCAAAGCCAAAATGCCAGCTATCAATCAGCCAGGACTGGTAGATGCCCATAGTAGACAATGGTACTAACCTCTACACCAATCATATAATTCATTTACCATTGGGAAGAAAATAAGTTAGCACTAGCACAACACAAAATCATACAGATAACCTCAAGCTTCTGCATTTTCATCATAATTTTTACTGACCTTTAGCTTAGCCACATTCATGATGAGTTGTCTGCTGTGCTGTACACTCAAGACATTGACCTGAAAGAAAATAATAAAGCAGTTGATCCATGAACAGCCACATGTCATCATTTTTTTATTCACACATTCAACAAATTTTCTAAATTCTATCTTTGTGAGGAGCCTGTTATATAAACAAAAATCTAACTAACACACCACAGCTAAAAATGTCTGGGGCCTATGTCAATTGGATTAGCATACAGGTGCTCATTGCCAGAACCCCAAAATGCATGCCATACTAAACATTTTTATCATGGCAGCAACATCACAGCAAGAACTTCATGGTGCATTTATTTTGAATTATAAAAAACTCTGTTTGTCACATGGTCAGTACCAATTTAAATGCATAGAGACAATCTTTCAGGGAATTATAATGCTGCAACAAAAATTTAGCCTGGTCCAAGTTCAGCACATACAAGATTTAGCATGCCAATACCATGTAGGTGGCCAACACAGTGAAACAATTTTGTGTGGACTGGTCTGCAAATAGAGGACTGTGGTCTTGGCTGCTGGACACCTTACCAGTGCAGCTGGTGGAATGCAGATGCTAAACATACACCAATGTGGAGCATGGACAGTGGCAGCTGGTCAGACCCTGGTCAAGCTGGTCTCTGATAAGTTCCTGACCAGGTCAGGGAATTATCAGAGATGAGCACACCTTATTTTTATCATCAGACATGTGCTGGTCAGGCACAAGTAGTCTAAGTATGACCGTCACAGAAAATGAGGATGATCATGAACTCCTTAAACAGTGTGCACAATATTTTTTTTTCAACAGACCACACACTGGTCCTGACATGCTGCGCCAATGCTGGTACTCTTGCTAGCAACTTGTGCATAGGTGGATGATCGATACACGTGGATCGCAGGATGAAGCCTGCAAGTTTCCTTTCTCACTTCGCAGGCCATCTTCTTACTCGGGGCGTTATTACTTGATACACAATATTCACCGCAAACACATCACAATAATACGCTACATGCACTCACCCCAAATATCGTCAACTCCAGCCCGATCACAATTTCCCCGGTTCCCCGGCGTCACTCAGCGCGCGCACGGCGCGCGTTCGCCGAGTTCTCCCTAACCGAACGCGACCTTTGCCGCGACCCTACTAGAATAAAAATAAGGCTTCAGAATGATGCCTTCTTACATGCACAATAAACTTATAAAAGACGGGTTATAGCTACTTATCATTTTTATTTTGAAAATTAGTGTCAAATCTGATAAGCAAACTAGGATTAAAAATGCTACAAAAATATTTTATATTGATATTTAAGCGAATTTACTGGTAACCATCTTGAAAAAAGGACACAGTCCGATCATGACGCACTTGTACAAAATATCCCGCGGTTTGGTTATATCACGACGGACCTGTTTCGAAACTCTTCGGCCGTTTGCAAGCAATGCGACTGAAGATACCGACAAGGGCGGGAACAAGCATCGTTAATGTTTCAAAAATATTCGTATACGTTGATGAAAAATATCCTGATCTAAGGGGGGCAGCGCTTAATACGGGGTTAATTGGTCGCACGCCAGTGTTATGTACAGCCTGGAAAACATCGGTTTGGATGCATAGCGGCATTGAGGCTTTCTGAAAAACACGAGTTATATTTGGAGCTTTCAGGCCGGACACTAAACGCGATGACTGCATTCCCCATAGTTTACTTTTGCTTGAATGAGCCCTTTTATTGTTGTCGACGTAAAAACTTACCACTCATTGAAGAACAGTACTTATTTTCGAAAAAAGTTATAGAAAAGTAAGGAAAGTGCTCCTCAGTTGAAAGCTCAATGTCATATTGATGAAACATAAGCGTATAATCGACTTTACGTACTTGGCATCGTGATGGCAGTATGTTGACAATTCTGACGCAGTGCTGCTTTAATGGTGCGTTGTTTTTGGGCACGGCGCTTTACCCTGAGTGATATTCCGCCAGTGGACGTTCGGCGTAAAGGCTATTTCCGAGTGTCGATGTCTTGCGATTAGGTACTTACCATTGAGAAAGGTTAGCAAAATCTTCTTATAAAATATGAAAGCTAGGATTTTAGCATTTTGAGCAAGGTAGATGCCATTAGAGATCGCGAAGAGCGGTCTTTGTCGGGTTGAGAGGCAGAAGGCAACTGGGTGAATCCTTGGTAAGTATCTGGGATGATTTTTGGTTCTTCTTGTTTGTGAAGTTCAAGGTGATATTTAGATGTCATGTTGTGTATAACATCATTTATGTTTTTGTGATATGGTTTTCTTTCTGCTAACTCAACCAGTGGAGACACACATTTATTTCCTGCCTCAGAAAATGGAAGATGTCACTGGAATTTGCATTAACTGGTTGTATATGGATGGAGTTCAATGTAAGTTTTGGTTCCTATCTTTCTTATCCCTAAGCTTAAGCATTGATTGCAATGCCAGAACTTGTGCTTGATTATGGAAAGTTTCATGTTTCAAATCATGACAGGATGCTGGACATTACAGCTGATGCATGACCAACAAATCAATGCACCAGGTGACTTCTATCATGTCATGATGGTATCACTGGGTGCTTAACTAAGCATGAAACTTGGTGACCTTTACTTTCAAGATATTGTGGTTTGGCTAAGGTGATTTTAAGGCAAACATGCCGTGAAGTGATTATTAATGAATTATTGATATGATAATTCAGCACAATTTGGGCTGGCCTGAGTTTGACACATGCAAGTGTGGTGTCCAGCATGACAATGGGGTATAGGCAATTAGCACACTTTGGTATTTTGCAGGCTGGTAACAGTTCATAATTGTGTGTTATTACCAATGCTTCAGCTAATTCAGTTTCGTTTCCAAGAAAGAAAAGAGCTGTAGATGTCTCATAATATAAATCCACTTCATTATTTTCAAATGCTTTTCAGTGTTCATGAGTTGTTATGATTTTTTAAAAAAATCCTGATGTTTTCTATTTGTTTTTATCTGTGGCATTGTTGTATCATTCCTGGTGAAAGTTAGTCTTTCCCAGTCTCTTGTTGTGCTTCTCAGGCAATGCCTTGAAGTCCTGTGGCATCTTCCACTTTCTGGTGCATTTACTATGCATATTTGGTAGACTGCTGTTCACTTATACATTGACAAGTGCTAGGTGACAATGATATGGAAAACAACTGATTAAATTTGGCATACAAAAGGACTAGTATGTTGTGATCTTGCCTCTGGTGCCAAACACAATCACCTCATCTCTCCCAGGACTCAGTTCACCATGGTGAAACGTGGAGCAGCGCTGGTCTCCGGTCAGGCATCGTCACCGGCCACGGCCGCGTCGCAGCGCGGTTCGCGTGCCACCCGTCGCTCCGCCGGCACCGAGCCCACCTCGCCGGCGGGTCGCGGCCGCCCACGCCGCGCGCCGGCTGCCGCCGACGTCACCGCCGCCCCTGAAACGCCGGCCGCGGAGCCGCCAGACGCGCCGCGCCGCGTCTCGCGCCGCCAGAAGATCCCCAACCGACGTCTGCTGCCCATCACAAACGGCCGCGCGCCGGAGCCGACACCCGAGAGAGCTCGCGCCACCGAGCCGGCCGAGCGGCGGCCGGCGTCGTCACGGCCCGCCCGGCGCGCGCGCAGCACGCCGGCTGCGCCACGCGCCGCCAGGGGTCGCCGCAAGGACGCGGCCGTCGCGCGGAGCGACGCTGCCGACGGCGGCGACGTCTCCGACGGCGTGTCGATGGACGCTGAGGCGAACGGCCCGGCGTCGAGCGGCGGCGTGGCCGCGCTGCCGCCGATGACGTTCTGCTCGGTGAAACTGGTGCGGTCCGAGCTGCGGTCGTCGCCCTCGGACGCGACAGTCGGCGGCGACTCGTCGCTCGACAGTGCCAGTCTGCCGTCCGAGAGCGGGCCGGCCGGCGGCGGCGACGCTCAGTCGGGGCGAGTGGAGGACTCGGGAGACGGCGAGGGAGGGGCAGATAGTGCCACGGCCGACCGCGAGCCACGCGCGCCCGGCCCGCCCGACGACCGTGACGTACACAGTGACGAGTCCTCTGACTCGGTGGTGCGGTTTAAGAACGCGTCGGCGCTGGAGAGCTCGCTCGGGGACTCGATGGATCTCGACAGCACCACTGAGGACGGGGACGCGAGTCTGAGAAGCGGCCCGCTCGAGTGCCATGCAGGGCACGTGGACCTGCCGGTCTCCCCTGCACCAGCATCAGACCTCACCGACCCACCCAGCCGTTCGTCCGATTTTCCACGGTCCGGCGACGACCCACAGCAGTCCGCGGAGTCCGGGGACGTGCCCCCGGCCGGTGTGGTGGCTGCTCATGTGGCGGTGCCGCGAGTGGCCGAGCCGGTGAGCCCGGAGCCCGACATGGAGGTGGCTGCGAGCCCCGTGCCGGCCGCCGTAAACGGTCTCAGCCCGGCGCCGTTCGCTCTGGACTCACCGAGTCCGCTGCCGGAGGCGCCCGAGTCGCTGGACGGGCCCCTGTCGCCGGCACCGCCGCCCGACCCCGACGACAACGCCTGCAGCTTCCCGTCGCTGCCGTCCAAGGCGTCTGACTCGGAGGACAGTCGAACGAACGCGTCCGTAGGGTCGCTGCCGGCGGCCACGGCCGACGCCGGCGGGCCGACGGCAGCAGCTGCTGCGCCCGGCCGACTGGGCGCCGAGGCCCTGCCGAGGCCGCCGCTACCCGAAGAGGAGTCCATGCCGCTGCCCCCCGCGCATGAGGAGTCCGTGCCGGTGGCTCCCGCAACCGAAGAGTCCATGCCGTTTCGTCCTCAGGACGAGGAGTCCACGCCGCTGCCTTCGGTGGACGAGGAGTCCATGTCCCTACCTCCTGAGAACGAGGAGTCTTTGCCGCGACCGGCTGCCGACGCAGAGCGCTCACGATCGCCGTCGGTTGACGATCAGTCCCTGCCGCATCCTGGTACGGGCGTCGAGTCCCCGACTCGGTCTCCCCTTGGTGAGGAGTCCCTTCCACGTTCTCCCGCGAATGTCCAGCCCTCGCCACTCGCCTCAGTCGATGACGAATCGGCGCCTCCGTCGTTGGACGGCGAACCTCAGCCGCCACCCTCCGCGACCGAAGCGTTTCCCGCGCCGCACACGAGCCTCGAGTCTCCGCCGTCGTCGTTGGACGTGGAATCCCTGCCGCCGCCTGTTGCGGGATTCTCCGCAGGGCATACCGGGGGCAGTGCGCTCCAGCCTCCGTCGCCGCCGGACGAGGCCTCTCCGCCGCCGCCGCCGCCACGCTCAGTGTCCGCTTCCGAGGAGGATAGCCGTAGCAGCGGCGCCGGCTCGCCGCCCGACCTCTCTGACGACGAGGACTTGCTGTCGCCGGGCGAGCTGGCTGCGCTCTGGCCGCCGCCGCCCAGCTCCGGCAAGCCGGTCGTGCTGCCCATGGAGGCGGACGAGGTAGACTCACCGGCGGCCAGCGACGACAGGCTGCTGTCGCCGTCGGAGTCGGCCGACAGCCGCGGCCGCCGCTCGCCCTCGCCGGGTGGCTCGCCTGCGCGCAGCCCCGCGGAGGCGCCGACGGAGACGGGCGCGGCGCGCAGCCCGCGCCAGTCGCCGTCGCCGCCGCCGCCGCCGACTCTGCTGCACGAGCGGTTGCGGTCGCTGGACGTGAGGGACCCACCGCCGAGGGAGCCGGAGGCCGCGCCCGGCGACTGGAGCTCGCCCAGTCGACGTTCGGCGTCCGGCACAGACCCGGGACTGCTTGGCGCGGAGGATGTGGCAATGATACCGCTGCCTAGTGAGACGGCGTCGGGTCTCTCAGCCGGTGCGCGGGCGCCGGCCAGCGGGGTGAAACTCCCGCGGCCGCCCGCGGGTGGTGCGGATGAAGCTATCCCCGCGAGCGTGTCCCCACCCGCGCCGGCTCCAATGGCGCCGGTCGACATGGACATCTCAGCTTCGGAGTCGTCGGGGGACGAAGCGGCTGACGAGGCGGCTACCGCGCCCGCTCCGGAGGTGGTCGCCGCGAGTCCGCCAGCCGTGGCCGCGAGCTCCCGCGCACCGGAGGAGCCGTTGGTCCGGGCGTTTGGCGGCGGCGCGGTGCCGGCGTCTCCCGCCAGCCACGAGGGCTCCGTACCCAGTGAGGACCGCGCGTCGCCTTTCATGGGTCTGTTTGACGAGGACGACAGCCCGTTTGTGGTGCGGCCGGCCGACGAGCCGGCGACGGAGCCCGCGAGCCCACGCCTTCGCTCGCCGCCGCCCGAGGAGGGTCCCGAGAGCGGCTTGGCCCGGCGCGTCGTCAACAGCTACGGCGGCGCCAATCGAAAACCGCGCGCCGACCCCGCCACCGCGCGCGGCAAAGTGGTGGTGATGAGCGGTGGCGTCGAGCGGCTGCAGAACGTCATCGCCCAGTCGGACGCTCTCATCCTGCAGTCGGGCGCCGCCAACGCGCAGGCGCTGCGTGCGCTGGCCGGGCCCGTGCCGCTGGTGGTGCGCTCGCAGCTGGCCAGCGCGGCGCCCGGCGCCGTCATCACCGCCTCGCGGCCGGTGGTGGTGCGCTCCGACTCGCTGCTGGCGCGTGCGGCCGGCGCGCTCGCACCGCCGGCCGCACCCGGCGCGCGGCCCGAGCAGGCTGCTCAGGCGGCCGCGCGGCCGACAGCGGCCGACACCAAACCGGAGGCGGCGAAGGCGCTGCCGGTGGCGCCGGTCGCCCAGACCGCCACGCAGACGGCCTCCGGCCGGACCAAGCCCAAGGCGAAGTTGGTCGAGCGGCTGGCGGGAAGTCCAAAGCGGACGCCGGTCGTTGCGGCCGCCGCGGCCGGCGCCAAGCCAGCGCCGAAGCCGGAGCCGCGGGGGGCGCAGTCGGACGGTGATGGGCGCAGGGCGGCGGGCGGCGACAGCGGCGCATCGGTGTCGACGTCGGCGTCGGCGTCGGCGTCGGCGGCCGCCGCCTTAGACCCGCTGGACATCCCGCTGCCGCCTACGCGCGCCCCGGCGGCCGGCGCGCGCCAGGCCGCCGCGCCGGAGAAGCCGGTCAAATGTGACGCCAAATCGGCGCCGAAGACGGAACCTGGCGCCCTGCAGAAGCAGAAGTCCAAGGACAGTCGAGTGGACGCCATCAAAGACAAGGATCTCAACAAGCTCAGGAACTTTAGGGTAGGTGATTGTTAAGCTTCTGAATCACGTTTTCAGTGGAGCACGCCGCGTGGCTTAAACGCGACTTACAATGCTACCTACGAAGTCTTTTCAACTTGATGAGCTTGTAACCGAACGTGACCTAAAGTCTGATGCTCCAACCGCAATACGGGACGTGCATTACCTTAACTCTCGGCTCGCTCGCGCAGGTGATTTCCGACTCTATCTGGCTGAAAAAGCCAAAGACGACGAAGCAGCAGAAGGAGGCGCGCCACATGGTATGCGACTGCTACCTCTCGCCGGAGGAGATGGAGCGAGGAGACATGGGCTGCGGCGAGGACTGTCTGAACCGGCTCCTCATGATCGAGTGGTGAGCATCCCTGCATCCCCGCAGCCATCCATCCCCGCAGCCATCCATCCCCGCATTCCCGCATCCATCCATTGCCGCATCCCCGCGTTCACCCATCCCCGCATTCCCGCGTCCGTCCATACCGCATCCATCCATTCCCGCATCCCCTCATCCATCCATTGCCGCATTCCCGCATCCACCCATCCCCGCATTCCCGCACTCATCCATATGGCATCCATCCATCCCGCATCCATCCATCCCTGCATCCATCCATCCCTACATCCATCCATCCCCGCATCCATCTATCCATCCATCACTGCATCCATCCATCCCGCATCCATCCATCCCCGCATCCATCCATCCCCGCATCCATCCATCCCGCATCCCCTCATCCATTCATCCCCGCATCCATCCATCCCGCATCCCCGCATCCATCCATGCCCGCATTCATCCATTCCCGCATCCATCCATTCCGGTATCCCCGTATCCTTGCCTACAATCGTTGAGGTGCTGTTTCATATACGGTTCGTAGGTGATACGGGCTGTGCAGCCAAGCTGCCCGTGCACGTCTGATTAAGATGCGTGATACATGCATTTTGACCGCAGTCCCAAGGTAGTTACCGCTTGCAGGCTAAGTGTTTTCAAAATGGCATCAGCTTCTGGCAAGCATTGCGCTAAAGCGTTACATCGCTGACGGTGTATGGTTTCTGTGCTGGCTGTCAAAAGCGGAGTCACCTCGGTGGCGCGGTTGACCAGTGCGCGGGCCAATATAGGTCAGGGGTATTTGGTTCAAACCAGACTTTGACAGGCTGTTTTTCGACCCACTCTCACCCAAGAGTGGGCAGCAGCTGTGGAGTGATTGTCCTGTCGCGGGATGACGCAGTGCTAACTTAGTCGGCGGCGGCGGGTTCCCGCGCATGGTCCGCTCTGATATAGACTCTTGGGTCCGGTGACCCGGCACGACCTCGCTCGAGGCCAGTGGAGCGGTCCTCTGACCAACGGGTCCGAGAAGTCAGGGTAGGCCCCCGTGTGCAGACGGCGGCAGGCATCCCACCAGCAGGCGCGAGACCAAGGCGTTCAAGCACCGAAAATATGACACACATCTACGGAGTAAGGTGTACAGCGCGTGCGCAATTAATTTTTAAGATCCCGACTTGGGGTACCGATTTTATTGGCTGAAAACTCGCTGTCATGGCTGCCTGGATAGTCTCGGGTGTCGCGTGGCCACGCACTACCGCGCAGCCACGCCGGGTACACTTGCCGACTCCACTGACGGCCGCGTCCTTGACAGCGGCTCGCGGTGTCCACTGGGCGACCGATGCTCCAACAAGCGCTTCACCAGGAAGGAGATGTACCCGACGAACGTGTTCAAGACCGAGCTGAAGGGGTACGGCCTGCGCGCCGTCACCGACATGCCGGACAACGCCTTCATTTACGAATACGTGGGCGAGGTGAGGAGCGGTCCCGGTCGTGTTCCGTTCGTTACGACGCTGCCTTTGCTGGCTGAGAGGGAGCGCTTGGGCGCGGCTGGGTGGACGTATATAGGTGAAGCCTTTCGGGTGTTGAAGTGTAGCTGGCGAAGGGATGGCGAAATGTCCCCAGAGGTGTCGACACTGGCCCCGACCTAGATGTGCGGTTCGTCACGACAGGTCCATCAGTTGCCAGTATTTCTGTGCTTGCTTATGTTACATCACAGCCTTGGGTATTTTCGACGGACGTTAAGCAGCCACCCCACCTGCATGCACGTCTCTGGGCCATCAGTATGGCAAAACGCTGTCTTTGGATCAGTCTTGAAGGGACCTAAAATCAGCCCGAAAATGCCTCACTGATAATACTTTGCTACTTGGTTCCGTTTGCGAACAGAAATGCGAATTACGAAAGGCACTGTTTCGGCTCCTCAGTATCGCACACCTTGGCTGTTTTGAGCTCTCGCACGGCCCAGCCTAGCGTGCCCAGCTGCAGTGGTTCCACAACGACCTTTCCGAGAAACGTGCGGAATGTAAAGTCGATTTTGCAATAGCTGTGCTTTTGGTAATGGCCGACTGACGATTTGCAAGGGCTCTCTTGCATACTTTTTCTGTGCTGTAGCTCTGACATAAATATACACCCGTGCAAACGAGGAGTTGAGAATGCGTAGCGTCACATCTTTATAAAAATTGATTCTGCTGGGAACCCATACACCATTTCTAGACTCCAATTAAACCATTTCTCGAGCCGCCTTTATGCATCATGCAAAGATTGCCACTTGTCACGAGTAAGGGGGAAACACAGCGAGAGGAATGTCGCCGAGTGACCCAAGAGGTGTGCCGCAATTTTTTACGCATTCAGCTCAGGAAGTAAATGTTCTGTCTGCCCAATCCCCGTAAAGGAATAGTACCAAAAGAAAAGTTTCTGGGTATAAAAAAGCGCTACGGTAGTCGCGTGGCTCGTCGATGCGACGCGCTCAGGTGCTGAGGCTATTGGCGTCGCTTATCTCTCGCCCTGGCAGGAAGAGCGGGCACCCGGGGATCGGACCCCGTACCTCTGGTATTCCAGACGTGCAATGGTTAATGCGGACGCGTTAACCACTGCACTATTGTAACCCTCAGTAGCTGCATGACTAGTTGTCACTGTTCATAGCACTAGCAAGTTCACCTGGTTTTCCCAAAGTATGCCGTAAGGTGTTACATGTTGTTTAATGTGAGGCGTGAATGAATCCGAACTTGGCTGCAGACAGCACCATTTCACTTCCAAGTGTGGCGGCGGCCGTAGTGTAGCCGCCCAGCTTAAACGGCCGAACAAATCCGCCGCAGGCGTGGCGGCGTGGCTTTGTGTCCACCGACAGCCCATGACACACATCCCACCCACCGAAGCCTAAGTCGCCAAGCGCCAGCCGGTTTGGAATGCTTACGCTATTGTTATCGAGATAAGGTATTATGAGCTCTCATACGATTTAAGACAAAACCAATTTGATCGTGAAATCTGCTGGGCGATTAGTTTCGCGTGCGATGGGCAAAATCAAAGTAAACCTACGTGCAAAGTGGTTTTCTTCACCGGCTCATGTTTTAATGGGTCAGAATTGTCTGGCATTTGTACAAGTTGGCGGTATGACTCGCCGGATTTTGGAGAAACTTTGAATCTGTCCACCCGGGATGGGAACCCTGTGGGATAGCACGAAAGATAGATACGCTGAAGAAAATCAACATCGCACGAAAATGTTCCCTGCTTTAAAGATCTCCGCTTATGTACTTATAACGTAATCTTGAAGGCACTTTCTGATAGTGGTGACGAAGAGGCAGCAGGCTTGCCGAAAGAATTGAACCAAAAATATTTCAGGTAGGAAAACAGGGCCGCTGCAGGATAGTTGCCTTGATTCGGGTACGCCTAATCTGCGTGTGTACAAGTACAGGACAGCTGTCACGCCACTGTGAGCCTGTCGTGCGCACCGATACCCGTCTAAAGACTGGTACGCCCCCTGATATTATTCTGATATTATTCGACGGGTGGCTCATCCCCACTGCGTCTCAGCGTCGCCTGTGGCCGTCTTCGTCTCCATCCACTGTCGTACGCGTAAACAGCGACCCCAGTTGTTTCTTTGCTTATTTGTTTTATCTGCTGGACGCGTGCAGGGCCCGCTGATGATGCTGACCTGTGCCGCCAGGTGCTGGACTCCCAAGAATTCCGGCGACGTACCAACGAGTACGACCGGCTGAAGTACCACCACTACTACTTCATGGCGCTGAAGGGCGACGCCATCATCGACGCCACCGAGAAGGGCAACGACTCGCGCTTCATTAACCACAGCTGCGATCCCAACGCCGAGACGCAGAAGGTGGGCGGCCCAGAGCGACGTCGGCGTACCGTAGGCGCGGCCGGTGGCGCGGCGAGAGCGGAGTGGGGAGAGGGGATGGACTGTGGTGGTGCGGCGAAGGCGGAGCGGGGAGGGGAGGGGATGGACTGTGGTGGTGGCGCGGCGAGAGGAGGGAATGGGCTGTGGTGGTGCGGCGAGAGGAGGGGATGGGCTGTGGTGGTGCGGCGAGAGGAGGGGATGGGCTGTGGTGGTACGGCGAGAGGAGGGGATGGACTGTGGTGGTGGTGCGGCGAGAGGAGGGGATGGGCTGTGGTGGTGCGGCGGGAACGGAGCGGCGAAAGGGATAGGCTGTTGTGGTGTGCGACCGGGTTTCGAAGCCGTTGAGATGTGTTTGAAATTTCGTGACAGGAGTGAAGGTGTTGGGTGGTGGCATTCCGTCCACCGCTTCAGCGGTATGAAAGCGGACATGGGTTGGGCGTTCTGCCTGAGCCATGTTAACCAGCAGTAGGCGCACCTGGTGCTGGACCTCTGGCACCTGGACGTCTGGCAGCGTCGGTGTCGGCGAGTGCCGCCGCTGCAGTCCCCTGGTCCCAGGACATCGGCCCCCGCCTCTGATGCGCCGTCGTCTCGCGGCTCTGCCGATCCCGAGCGCACCCGCCGGCGCAGCGTCGCTCCGCCCCTCTGCGACCCTGGCGGTCGGTGCCGCCCGGGCCTCTCGGGCCTCCCGGGGCTCCCGGGGCTCCCGGAACTCCCAGGACTCCCAGGACTCCCAGGGCTCTCGGGACTCCCGGGCCTCCCGGGACTCCCGGGACTCCTGGGCCTCGGTGCCATGGCCTCGTCCCGTCCAGCCGCCGTCACCGGCTGCTGTGACGACCGAGCGGCCAGCTGGGCGCCGGCGCTCAACAATCCTGACACGTGACACGCCTGCGAGGATACAGAGACGTGGGCCGTGGGATTCGCGGTGACGGCGCGGTGGGCGGGGGGGGGGGAGGAGGGGGAGCAGGGTAAGGTCGGGAGGCGGCGCACCGCTGCTGCGCACGGGGTTTGAAGCTGCCGCGCCGCTAGAAGCACCCTGCGTGAGCCCGGCGTGTCAGTGATAGGACGGGGGGATATCGGGGAGGAGATATGGCCAGTCGAATGAAGGCCTCACTGCGAAGGGCGCATTATCCCCATACCCCCTTATCTTATCCCCATAGTGGTCGTCTTGTACCACCGACCTGGTGACGCGGCCGGGCACGGATCATGTTTTTGAGACGCGGGTCGCTTTTGAGCTTCGCTCGACATCAGCGGACGGTCAGTTGGAGATCGGAGCATCCTTCGAACGTATGGGGGCTGGTTTTCATGAGACTTTTGACAGGATGCTGCTTCTTCGGTGCGTGTGTGCCGAGGTTTCAGACATCACATGACCGGCCGGCTCAGGGCACGCGCGTGGAAACTTCAGAAGCCGCAGTTACTGAGCAGGCCTGCTGGCTGTGTCGGCGCCGTGTCGCACCACGATGGGCTGCTCCCTGGTGGCGGCGCGAAGACTGACCCGAGAACCGCTATCGCATTGCAGTGGACGGTGAACGGAGAGCTGCGTATCGGCTTTTTCACGCGGCGCCCGGTGGCGGCCGGCGAGGAGATCACGTTCGACTATCAGCTGCAGCGGTACGGTCAGCGCCGCGCGGGAGACGAGTCTCTCGTGGAAGGCTTGGGCGGGGTGGGCGTTGTGTCCGCCCTCCTCCAAACTGACGGACATCTGACAGTCCGGCGGAGGCGGGAGAACGGCAATATTGTGTGTGGCTTTGCGGGGCGTTTGGAATGTTTGCTACCGTTTTGCAGCTCGCGTCTCTGCGATTGGAGGTCATGAAATGCCTGATATCGAGTCCCAATGCTCCACCTGGTGTGGAGTTTCCGCCACTGGACCGCTCGACTTGGCCACCTGACGTGCGAAACGCTTCGGCCTCCGCACGACGCGACGCGTCCGACGCCCCGCTGCGCTTCCAGGTACGGCAAGGAGGCGCAGAAGTGCTTCTGCGGCTCGGACATATGCCGCGGCTGGATCGGCGAGAAGACGGACGAGCCGCCGGCCGAGGACGACGACGAGGACGAGGACGAGCGGGCCGAGGAGGCGGCGGACGAGGCCGGAGCGGCCGTCGGGCCGGCGGACGCGGCCGGCCCCCGGCCGCCGGCCCCCACCAAGAAGGCTAAGCTGCGCAAGGACGCTGAGAAGCGAGACGTGAGCCCGGAGCTGATCACCGAGCTCGTTCTGGCGGCGACTGTGACGTGTGTGGACGGGCGAGTGGGTTGGTCATTATCGGGAACGATAAGTTTGATATAGAACGATGCTTTTGGATTCGTTCATAACAGTTTGAAGCCTTCGCTTTGCTTAGGGTTTAGGAAATGACCGATCGGATTAGCAATGAAAGGCATCAGTCGAGTCACCTTTACTGCGATGCGGTTCAAGCTCTGTCCATATTTGTCGATATCTTGCATCTGCATTTCCTGCCACGCCGTGGTTATCTGGACCCGGCTGCTGCACCACACACGGCCGGCGGCTGGTGGGCACCGTCGGCGCCCCCACCCTGACGCCCGGCCGGCGCGGCTGTCCGCAGCTGGAGATGGAGATCAACAAGCTGGTGGCGTCCGGTCTGAAGTCGAAGCAGCACACGCTGGAGCTCTCCCGGCTGATGGTGCGCGCCGAGAGTGACGCCGAGCGACTGACGCTGCTCGACCTGATCCGCTCGGCCGATCAGCCCTGCAGGTGACCGGCCGGCCGGCACGCGCCGCCGCCCCCTTCCCCGCTGACGGGGCGCGAGACGCGCGGTCGGAGAAGGCTCACACGGGGGAAGGGGGCCACGCCGAGCAGCGCCGGCCGCTGCACGGCTGGGACGTGGCGCTGAGTGATGCAGACAGACGAAGGAAGTTGACTGGACTCTGGTGCAGCGTAATACTGCGTGGAGGACCTGATGTTCTGTGATGATGTATTGCTACAGCTGTGGTCCTTCGTGGTTTGATAAGTAATACCCTGATTGCGAAATGACGAAACAAGTTTCCCATGGCCTCGCTCTGCCACATATAGCGGCACTCAGCTGCTGGGACTACATGGCGTCGCATGCCTCTCGCCCTGGCAGGAAGGGCGAGTGCCGTGAGGAATCGAACCCAGTACCTCTGATCCCAGACGCACACGTTAACCGCTACACTACCGGTCCCCCATGAAGGGATGTTTGTAATGGGTCGCCTGCTCGAGGAAACACATGCTCGTGCCGCCAAATTAGGATGCATTTCGTATTCACGCCCTGCACGTATTGGTCGGTACAAATCACCCACCGTTTCATCGTGAGTGAATTGTGCGTCGATGTGTGGCTGGTGTCTCACGGCCAGCCGTCGGCCGGTGTGGCGGGCGCCGGGCCTGACAGCGGCCGTCCTGCCCGCCAGGCGGCTGTTCCTCGACTACCATGGCCTGCGGCTGGTCTGGAGCTGGATGGCCAGCGCGCCCTCGCCCCAGGGGCCGGCCGACGCCGAGGCACTGCGCTTCAGACGCAAGGTGCGCCGCCGGCCGGCCGACTCTCGACGCCCGGGCCGGCCGGCTCTCGACGCCCGGGCCGGCCGACTCTCGGCGCCCGGGCCGGCCGGCTCTCGACGCCCGGGGCCGGCCGGCTCCCGGCGCCCGGGCCGGCCGGCTCTCGACGCCCGGGCCGGCCGGCTTTCGGCGCCCGGGCCGGCCGGCTCTCGACGCCCGGGCCGGCCGGCTCTCAGCGCCCGGGCCGGCCGCTCTCGACGCCCGGGCCGGCCGGCTCTCGACGCCCGGGCCGGCCGGCTCTCGACGCCGCGCGCGCCCGGGGGCGGCGTCGGCGGTCCTGCCGATGGGGACTGGTGGAGGGCTGAGCGTCATGTGCCGTGTCAGGAGTTTTGTCTGGGATGTGGGGAGGCATATCTGTGTTTGTTGGCTTAAAACTGATCACAGACTTATATTATGCGCTGATTTAAACCAGTCACAGACAGATTATTTGATAGGTACAGATGAATTGGTGAGCACTCAAATTTTGTTTCTGTTGCATAGGTCTGGGCAGTAAGACTTTCGGGGAAGTCGCGTTTTAAAACCAGTCGCTTAAAATGATATTGTTGTATTGGAGCTTGCAAGCGGGATTGACGTGTGCCACCCTTCCGCTTTTCGCCTGGTGTGCTCGCCACTACACTAAACAAGATTGCCACCGATGCCTGTAACGGATGCCTTCGGGCTCGCTGCTGCCTGTAGCGCCCCGCGTTTGGGTGGCCCCGGTGCAGCGTCATCACGCCACGGGCTTCTCTCCCTGGCCAGGTGCTGGAGACGCTGGCCGTGCTGCCCATCCCCAACAAGACGACGCTCAAGGACAGCCGTGTGCTGAGCACCGTGGAGCGGTGGGCGAGCTGGCGGCCAGCCGGCCACACCCCGCACCCCGGACACGGACACGCCCAGCGACCACACGCCCTCGGACGCCGGCGCCGGCGACGACCCGGCCGCGCGCGAGGTCAGCGGCGCCCCGTGCCGGCACGGCGGCCGGCGGCGGCGGCGGCGGCGGCACGGTGCCCCGTCGGGTCCGCAGGGCTGAGGCTCAGCTCTCTCGCGAGAGTACCGCTGGTCCCGGTCTCCGCCGGGGATGCCGGTGCCGGGGACCTCAGATGGTGTCCGCGCTGGCAGGGGGCCAATAGGCGGGGGTCGGGGAGCGCCTGTCGTGCCGCGTGGTCCGAGGCGACGCCGGAGTGAGGTGAAGCTGTATACGGGGCTGCAGCGGAGCTGCGAAATAGAGGGCGCTGCACTGGCCAAGTGACTGGGCACCTCTGTGGTCGATGGAGCATGTGCGTTAAACTTGCCTTTTGGTGCAACATTACCGTGTGCCGCTGTGCATGCAGAGGTCTCAGCTGGCGCCTTGTATTGGCCTACCCGTGGCGATTTGTATCCATCGGCAGAGAGACCCGTTTGCTGTCATTGCGACTTCGTGACCGCGCCGTCGCGGGTCGCCGTGGCCCGTCTTATAATCTCACTCTGACCCTGTATCACACTCCAGCCATGACCCTGTATCACACTCCAGCCTTGACCATATATCACACTCCAGCCATGACCCTGTATCACACTCCAGCTGTGGCCCTGTATCACACTCCAGTTGTGACCCTGTATCACGCTCCAGCCGTGACCCTGTATCACACTCCAGCTGTGACCCTGTATCACACTCCAGCCGTGACCCTGTATCACACTCCAGCTGTGACCCTGTATGACACTCCAGCTGTGGCCCTGTATCACACTCCAGCCGTGACCCTGTATGACACTCCAGCTGTGGCCCTGTATCACACTCCAGCCGTGACCCTGTATGACACTCCAGCTGTGGCCCTGTATCACACTCTAGCCGTGACCCTGTATGACACTCCAGCTGTAGCCCTGTATCACACTCAAGCCATGGCCCTGTATCACACTCCAGCCGTGGCCCTGTATCACACTCCAGCCGTGACCCAGTGACCTCCGACCCCAAGGCTGAGCCGGCTGCGGCCGTCTGTGTTTTGGTCAGATCGGCGAGCTGGCCTCTCGGCTCCTCGAGTCCTGGTCCGGCCTGCAGGAGGTGTTCCGCATACCAAAGAAGGAGCGCGTCGAGATCATGCGCGAGCACGAGAAGGAGGCCGGTGAGTGGGCGAGCCGCGCCCGGCGTGTGTTGGCGAGGCACCGATAGAACGTGTCTGGGCTGTCTTCACTCTCACGGCTCATTTTCCATTGTGGGGCGCGTTATCTCACATGTTCAGTGTGTTATGCTCTTTGTTCCGGCGCGTCATGCTGCTTTTAAGCAGTGTTTTGGTTCACCGTCTGATCAGCTCCGTGGTGGGGCTCGGCTGGAGTTCTCGAAGCCCTGCCGTGTGATGAGCGAACGCTGCCAGAGTTCGGTACGTCCGGCTTTTTCGAGCTTCATCAGTGGTGTCGCCGAGCTTTGTTGGCCGAGTCGCCGACTAGAGCTGTCGTCCCACATGCTGCGGTGCCCTGGTGACCCTGGGCCGGTGACACTTGGCCGGCGACCCTTGGCCGGCGACCCGTGGCCGGTGACCCGTGGCCGGTGACACTTGGCCGGTGACCCCCGGCCGGTGACCCTTGGCCGGTGACCCCGGCACGGTCGGCCCTGCCCCCGTCAGCCCGTGGCGGCGGTGGCGCACCAGACGCGCGTCCTTTCACTGCACGCGCCTTTTCTGGCCCATCCAAGCTCGAATTGAGCGCCACTCGGTCTGTGGACGAGTTTGTGTTCATGGTCGCTGCCCCACAGATGGTCCGCCTCGTCCTAACGAGTCTGAGCTTTCTACAACCACGCCATCCTCAATCCGCTACCAACACCTGCTCCGCTGTCGCGATCTCAGGCTGTTAAGACGCTGCAGAAGTTCATACTGCGGGGTTGACCATGCTCTCAGCAGCTGCTGGAGTCAGCGTCTCGCAGTTGTCTGCATTGTATTTTAGTTTGCTGCTGCTGCTGCGGATGGAACGCACCGCGAAGTCTGCTCCAGCGCGTGTGTGTGCCTCGTCTGTGAGTGTTGGATTCTTTAAGGTATAGATGCACTGTGTGGCGACGACCGTGGGCAGTCCTTGATACGCATAATTGATTGCCAAAATCCCTTCCCCTCCATCATATCAATTCTGATTATGGGAACAATTCTGGTATACTGATTGTCACGCAGAGCCATGAGACGCCACCCCCGTCTCAGCCAAACTCTTTCGTTTACTGGCGAATGAACTGTTAAGGTAACAGGAACAGCTACAAGAAGAGCAAAATAACCAGGCAGGGAGAAACAGGAACAACAAAATAACCACACAGGTTCTGTGATGATGCAGGGGTTCTATTCAAATAATCTAGTTATCCTGCATCACGATCATTAAAAATGTGGGCCAGTGAAAACCCCGCAGCTCGCAGACCGCGGCATGTCGCCTGCATGCTCGCGTGTGGACGCCTCGCCGTCCGCCTTATGAGATAGGGTCATGTCAGGTGCGTATCACTCACGCTACGTCACTGGTGTGTCGACTGTTGTGACGTTTTCGGCGCTGCACCCCGCGCAGAGGTCGCAAATCTCCCACGGACGTTTATCTGCTCCCCGACCATCTCTCCCTGCTCCCCGGCTGTGTCTCGGTTCCCCGAATGCCTCTCTTGGCTTGCCGACTGTCGCTCTCCGCTCCCCGACTGTCTCTCCGCTCGCCGACTGTCGCTCACCGCTCCCCGACTGTCTCTCCGCTCGCCGACCGTCTCGCCGCTCGCCGACTGTCGCTCTCCGCTCCCCGACTGTCTCTCCGCTCGCCGACTGTCGCTCACCGCTCCCCGACTGTCTCTCCGCTCGCCGACTGTCTCGCCGCTCTCCGACTGTCGCTCTCCTCTCCCCGACTGTCTCTCCGCTCCCCGACTGTCTCGGCTCGCTGACCGTCTCCCCGCTCCCCGACTGTCTCCGCTCGCCGACTGTCTCTCTCCGCCCCCGCCTCCCGCCGGCCTCTCCCCGTGTAATGTACTGCCCTCGGTTGCTCCCAGTGCGCGGCCGGACCCAGTGCCATCTCCTCGCACTCCTCTCTGCACCGACTCGTGCAGCCACCCCTGCCGGGTCCGCTGTGGTGAGCTCTCCACCGGCACAGCTGCTCCTCGGCCGGCGCGCCCTGCTAACGGGCGCCGCCCCTGCCCCCAGACCGCGGCTATCAGACGTACCTGCAGCAGCAGCCCCGCGCCGGCCCCTCGGCCGCCAAGAAGGGCTACGACTGGTCGCCGGAGCGACGCA